CAGGCGGGTCCGAGGCAGGCGCTGCTCGTCTCCCCTGCAGCGGACAGGCCGGCTAGTTTGAAAGGGCACCAGGCCCAGCCACGTAGGGACAGAGAGGGAACATCGCCAAAGCCAGATGCCAGCACTTGACACTGGCTCTTGCTTGCGGGGAGAGAGGGGACTACAAAAAGACAGAGGAAGGGGCGGGTTTGGTCCAAACACCCGGCAGGGGTCTGCATGCGGCGAGGGTTGGCCGCCACCAGCTGGCCCAGGCCCTCCCGGATGTACACATACTGGATCTCCTTGGTCTTGAGGCAGAAGTCACAGGCCCAGACGGCTGAGGCCTCGGTGGTGAGCAGCCCGTAGGCGTTCTCCGTCATGCCCGTGCACTCCCGGTGGAACCACTTCTGGCAGGAGGCCTCGCACAGGATGGCGTCCTGGTCATCGTTCACCTCACTGCGGCAGGCCCCACAGGGGGGCACCAGCCCCGGCGGCGGCTGGTGCCCCGAGTTGCCAGCCACCTTGCTGGAGGGCGGGAGGCTGTTGGCTTCAGGGGTGCTGCTGCTCCGGCCGGCGCTGCTGGGGGCGAAGCTTGGCTGGGGCCCGTTCACCCCGGGCGGAGGTGCTGGGCGGGGGGTTGAGGTTCTTCCCTCCATCGTCCCCCCCAGCTGGGAAGCCAGGGTCGGCCCCAGGGAAGGGGCTGGTGTTTGGGGGCAGATTCTGGCTGGGCCGCTGCATGGGAGACTGTCCAAAGAGGTTGGCGGGCTGGCTGAATCTCTGGGCCATGGGGGGGCCGGTAGGGGCATTCAGGGCTGGCCCTGGTGCCATGTCTCCCCGGGGAGGCTGCCCCATGGTGGGAGAGATCATGGGCCCAAAGCCCCCAACTGGCCCCTGCATGAGCTGCCCCGCAGGGGGGCTGAAGTTCTGTCCGAGAGGCTGATTGAAGGGCTGGCTGGGGAAGCTCATAGCCCCAGGCTGCACGTAGTTGGGATTCTGGGGGGGCATGCTGAAGCCTGGGCCCATCTGGCTCGGGGCGAAGGGAGGGGGCTGTCTCCGCATAGCCTGGGGCCCCCCTCCATAGCCCGGCCTGCATGCGAAAGTTCCCAAAGGGCACAGGGTTGCCAAGGAACGGGGCTGACGAGGCCCCCACTTTAGGTGCCCCAAAGTCATCTTCAAAGGGGTTGGAGGCTACCAAGTGGTCGACCATTGGCGTCGGGGGCGGGGCGAACTCCGAGAGATGGGAATAGCCAGGGCCCTGGGGAAAACAGCACACGAGTTAGTCTGGTGATCGCCATGCAGACGTGCAGGGCCCGAGCCTGCCAGGAGCACTGGGCCCTCAGTTCCCGCTGGTGCCAGGCAGGGCCTAGGGCAGACACACGCCAGCAGGGCTGAGCCCACTAATTCCTCTGCGCAGCCTGGCCACGGGGAGCTGCCGTGGCGGAGACTCATGCTAGCAGGAGAGGGGTAGGTGAGCCCTGGCTGGGGGGGAAACCTGGCCACCTAGCGCCATCCACGTCAAAGGCCTCTGAGCCCATAGGAACAGGCCTGCCAGCTGTGTGCTGCTCCACAAGGGCATGGTGTGTGCCAGGCCCTCCCCACGCTGCAGGACTCTCTGAGCAGCCCCGGCATCTGGCTCCAACCCGCTGTGGGCGAGAGCCCGGCAGGCTGCCTGTGCCACCAGAGCCTTGGCGTACCTGACCCCCAGGCCTTGCTCTCGTGTCGTGGCGCTGGGCTGACGGCCTGGCCCCTGCCCGCCTGCGGCAGGGTTTGAATGGGAAGGGTCGCTGCCGCGCACCTACCTGAGTGTTGGATTTACGCCGTTTCTTCTCGGGGCTCTTCATTTGCAGACCTGTGCGGGGAAGCATTGAGGAGCTCAGTGAGTGCAGCCTGGCCCCGTCCCTCCTCAGGCCCAGACAGACCAGCCTCTCCCCCCACCCAGCACTCTAGCGCGCC